TATAAATTAAATACAAACTTATTGTATCTTAACATTTAAAAAAAAAAAAATAGGTGAAATATTACTAAATAAAGATTATCTTTAAGCCCTCCTATTGAATATTTCAATTAAATTATTTAAATAAATTAATTTGATTGTACGCTTTACTAATTTAAATAAACAAGAAAACTGTGTTAAAATTTACGGAAATCAATATAATACTATTTTTTCGCATTATTGATTGGGTTTATATTTCCCTATTTTTAAGTGTCAAATATAACCTAAACATAACAAGTATAAACACTGTATTTAGAATGTCCTAATAATTAAAAATTATCTCATATTTAAAAAAATATATATTTAATATTTTTTTTTTTTTAAATTGAGATTTACAAAAAATGATATTTTTTTTAAAAAAAAAAAAAAATTTATCAAAAAGGCAAAAGAATTATATTATATCATGTTTTTTATATTTACTTTTACAATAGAACCCACACAAATATGCAACATAAACACATAACATTGGTTTTATCAGTGATATTAAAAAAAATCGTTTTTTTTTTTTTCTTTTCAAAAGATTTGGGTTATTTGAATTTGTCTCAGAGAATTGGGAATAATATCAAAAATTTTAAAAAAAAATTTTTAAAAAAATAAAAAATAATTGTTTTTTTATTTTCAATAATGAATAATTTGTTAAATTATTTTTTTCTCTAACATAAGCCTTGGAAAACAAAAAAAAAATAAAAAAAAAAGAGAAAAAATAAATAGGAAAAAAAAAAAAAATGAAAAAAAAAAAAAAAAAAAAAAAAAAAAATTGATACACCAGAAAACAATTATTTAATATTTTTTATAAAATTAAAAATAAAAATATACATCCCCTAATTATTTTTCCGGATTTTTTTTTTTTTTTTTTTTTTTTTTTAAATTTTTAATGTATTTGTTTATTTTATTAAATTTTTAAATTATTTAATTATTTAATTATTTAATTATTTATTACTATTGTAGTAATTCTTTTTCACACAACACATTCACAATAGCCAAGATTTATTTTTAGTACCCACACAATATTAAGTTTTTTTATATTAATATTTATTAACTATTTTAACAATACAAAACAAATCTTTTTTTATTTTTATTTTATTTTATTTATTTCAATTTCAAAATTTAAATTTTATATATTTATATATATTATACATTAATAATAGTACATATAATTAGATAGGGTGTATACCCACCTTAATTTTATAAACTCCTGTATATTTATTTAGATATATAAAAATATTATTTATTTTTTTATATTTTTTATATTTTTTTATAAAAAAAACAAAACAACAAATAAAAATAGAGGTTGTAGTAGTATCATTAATGATACCAATAATAGCTAAAAATGTTTCTTAATGAATCATTAAATTCATTTAATGAAAATAGTGATAGTAATAACAATAGTAGTATGAATAATAGTGGTTATAATATGAATAGTAGTAATAATAATAATATTAGTATTAATAATAATAATAACAACTTTAAAATAAATAATAGTTTAACTACGAGTATATTAGTATATAATAGTGATTATAATATATTTTTTAATATTAATAATAATATCAACTATTACAATCATTTAAACAATATGCTAAAAAACAATTTGATTCAATTACCTCAATATCAAGAAACAAATCAAACAGATAATAGCTATAGTAATAATAGTATTGTTTTTCATAGTAATAATAGCAATTATAACATCAACAATAATTTAGTTGATAATACATATAACAGTTATAGCAGTAATAGCAATGGCTACAATAATTATAATAATAATAATAATAGTAATTATAATATAGACAATGGCAATAAAAATCTCAGTGATAATACAAAACTATTTTTCAAAATTTGGAGATCAATTTATTTAAAGAATAAGATATTATTTTATTTAAGTTTTTATAATGAAAAATATGGTTGGAAGAGATATTTTAGAAATGCAAAGAATTTCGAAGAGTTAAAAGAAGAGAAACATTTTTTAAAATCGATCATTATGGATGATGCTTTTGGAAACAGGTATATATTATCAGAGTTTTTTAAACAACTACCAAGTAATATAGAGACTTTAGAATTAAAGAACATAAATTTCGAAGTGGATCTCAAATTTTTAGATATACCACCATCTTTAAAGCAATTAATTATTTATAAACGAGTGCAGCTATACCATTCAACTTTAACACCACAACTATTAAAAAAACATCCAACTATATTGCCTTTATCCAGCTCCTCACCATTTTCAACTTCTTCATCACCATTCAATGGTTTAACATCATTGAACATCAGCTATAGTGATGACTTACCTTTAGAACATTTCCTCCCCAAAACATTAATTAACTTAACACTTCATAATAAAATATCAAAACCATTCACCAAAGATATGCTACCAAAACAATTACAATCACTTGTATTATATTCAGAATATTCACACTCCACCATATACTTACCAAAGCAATTAAGAGTATTTAAAATAATTTCACCAATAACCTATATCAAACAATCTATAGTTGAATGTATACCACCTTCAGTAACCTCAATAACTTTATATTGTAAATGTAAAAATTCAATAAAATTTAATAACTCGTCAAATAATTTAAATAGTTTAAATAATAATAATATTAATAGTAGTAATAATTTAACATCAAGATCATCACTAAAAAAATTAATTTTGTTGTGTGAAAAAAATTTTAAACCAACATTATTAAATAAAGTAATTGGCTTTGGTGGCAGTGAAAATTCAATTTCATTAACAACTTTAAAGATCTCCTCTTCATATCATAAAAAATTAGAATTGGATGTAGATTTATTACCACCAACCCTAATAAAATTAAAATTAGCTTTAGATACAATACTTATAAACAACTCATCAACATCATCGCCTAAAAGAGGTTTCCCAAAGAGTATTATAAATTTTGAAGGAAGTTTACTGCATTTATCAAGTAAATTCGAAGATCCTTTAAAACTTCAGTGCCTCAAGATCACTTTATTCGAGAATGATAATAATGATTTTATATTTGATAAATTCCCAAATCTAAAATCACTTCGTTATAATCAAATAGATTACAATACCAGTGGTGGCAAACCACCATCACTAATTTCAAAGAAGGGTTTACCAAGTACATTATCAAATTTAGAGGTAGATAATCAATATAGTAATAGTAGTACAGTTTTTAAAGATGGGTTTTTACCTTTAGTGGATTCAAATTTAAAATCATTAAAGTTAAATGCTCGATATACATCCTTTTTATTAAGAAATAGTGGAGCAAGTAAAGTACCCAACGAACCAATCCCTATTAATGGTACCGCTGCTGGAGCTGGTGATCAATACGAACTATTATCATCATCACCATTATCATCATCATCCTTATCTTCACTATCACCTTCATTATCCTCTTCATCATCATCATTATCTTCAACCTCCTCATCGTCATCATCGTCATCATCATCATCAATATCACCTCCATCATCACCATTACCATCCTCATCTTCCTCATCATCTTCATATCAAATACAACAACAGCAACAACTACAGCAACAACTACAATTACAACAACAACAGCAGCAACAAACAATGAATTTTATTTTAAACGAATGTAGCAGTACAGTTTATCCACTATTATTTCCCTCAACTCTTGTATTATTAGACCTTCAATTAGAGTTAAATATGTTTAAGCAATATAATTATTATTATGAAGATGCAATCATAAAAAAAGAAGTTTTACCACCATCTCTTATTTATCTTGTTATAAGAGGTGAATACAAACCAACATTTATTTATCCACTACCTAAATCTTTACAATATATTTTTATTTCAAGTAATAATCAAATCTTAAATGATAAAGCATTTAGAAGTGAAAATTTATCTCCAATCTTTAAAATTTTCGATATCGATAATGATAAATTAATTTATAAGTACACTTCAAAATTATTTAAAACTTTAAAAAATAAAATATAAATAAAAAAAAAAATTAAAATCTTTTTTTTAAGTTTTATAAATAAATAACTTTTTGTTTTAATTTTATTATTTTGATTTCATAAATAAAGTACTTTTTGATCTGGTGACCGCTGCATTCTTTTTTATTTTTTATTTTTTATTTTTTTCTTTTTCTTTTTCATCTTCATCTTCATCTCCTTCATCTTCAATCTCTACATTGTTATTCTTTTCAGGTTTTGGGCAACCTTTATTTAATAATGCATTAAAATCACGACCTTTACCAAAATAACAAACTTTAAAAAAAGCATACTACTGAACAAAAATAAGTGAAACCTTCATCTATGGGTGCTTTAAGACCACGCATTTTAATTGAACCATCGGTTTTAGAAGGGCAACCTCTACACTTAAAATGTTTTGGTCCAGATTGTGGGGATTCAAATACTTGTTTATCATTTCGAAAACCTAAAAAGTATTTGATATATTTGCGTACTGTTTCGCTATCGATATGGTCGGAATTACAGATTGTAATCGAAATATCATTACAATATAGAATGAATGCATATTTTTTTGAATAGGTGGAGGCATGTGGACATCCAAGGAAAGTAGTTTTCAATTGAAATATTCGTACTATTTCCTCAAGATTATTAACCAAGGCAAAGTCCTGTGCTTTAACTAAAGATGTTATTGGAGCAAGGTCAATTTTAGATCTTTTAATTTTAAAATGACAACATTGATCATCCTCTGGTTCGGCTGCAGGAAGTGGGATTAGGTATGGATTAAGTATCATTTTTTTAGCATCTTCACCAAACTTTTCTAAAATAGATAGAATACTTGCAATATCTGGGTTAATTCTTGGTGAAGGAATGTTTGGTTCACTAGAATTTGATGAAGGAATGTTTGGTGAAATAATAATTGGTTCAACAATTGCAATATTACCAGTTATTAAATTTTTTTGATTTGGTGTAGTTTCTTTATTAACTCTGAAAATTTTTACTTCAGTTTGAGATAAACTTTCACTAGAATCATCCCCAAGACATTTTTCAATTTTTTGTTTTTTTGAAGCATGCTTTTATAAATAAATAAACATGAATACCCTTTCTTTTAGATCGTATAGTTTATTTCTTCCTTTATTAACTGAAATTATTCTTTGGTTTATTTTATTATATAGATCATTAAAACTATTAAAACTGATAACAATCATTTTTTCATATTGGATGATCTTCTGGAACTTTAAATGATTGTTTATCATTATTTCGAAAACCTAAAAAGTTTCTAATATATTTTCTTACTGTTTCGTTTTCGAGATGGTCGACGTTACAGATTGTAATCGAAATATCTTTACAAAATAGAGTGAATGCATTCCTTTTTGAATTGGTGGAGGCATCCAAGGAAAGTAGTTTTCATTTGAAATGTTCATATTATTTCTTCGAGACTATTTACCTAGGCAAAATCTTGTGCTTTAACTAAAGATGTTATTGGAGCAAGGTCAATTTTAGATCTTCTAATTTTAAAATGACAACATTGATCATCCTCTGGTTCGGTTGCAGAAAGTGGGATCAAGTATGGATTAAGTATCATTTTTTTAGCATCTTGGCCAAAATTTTCTAAAATAGATAGAATACTTGCAATATCTGGGTTAATGCTTGGTGAAGAAGTGTTTGGTTCACTAATATTTTGTGAAGTAATATTTGGTTCACTGAAATTTGGAAAATTGGTGTTTGGTGAAATAATATTTGGTTCAACAATTGGAATATTACCAGTTTTTGAATTATTTTGATTTGGTATAGTATCAACTCTGACAATTTTTACTTCAGATAAACTTTCTCTAGAAATTGAATCATCCCCAAGACATTTTTCAATCTTTTGTTTTTTTGAAGCACCCATTTCTTTGTATAAATCTAAAAGATTTTCAAGTCTTTGGTTTCCTTTTTTAAGAAACTCTATTTGTTCGTTTTCTTTTTTAAGAAACTCTATTTGTCCGTTTTCTTTTTTAAGAAGCTCCATTTGTTGATAATTATTATCAAAAACATCTTTTGGTACCATTTCTTGTAGCCCCCATTCTTTCAAATAATCATTTGCACATCTATGTGCATGCTCTCTTGTTGAGTTGATGGTGGATAAAGTAAACTTTATTTTTTGTGAACAAATTTTACAGTAAACTTCTAACGACATATTTGATAAATAACTAAATAAATATTTTATTTAAAGTAATAAAAGATAGATATTATAAAAATTAGAATTTTTTTTTTTTATTGAAAATTTTATAAAAGAAATTTTGTTATTCCAAAATTAATATGGAGAAATTTTATTTATTATTATTTTTTTTATTATTGACTGATTAATGATTATTATTGATTGAGTAATGATTATTATTGATTGATTATTGATGAATTATTTGATTGTTGAATATATTATTATAATAGAAATGAAAAGAAATTGGAAAATAAGAATATACATTTAAAGATACAAACTTTATTCCTTTCTTATTTTTCAATTTCTTTTCATTTCTATTATTCTTTACTATTCCATTATCTTTTAATTTATCATTACCATAACAACAGTTTTCTTTCTTTTCTGAATATTGGTAATAACCTGGAGCATTGATTGACTTTTTACAAATTTCATTAAATGTTTCGCGATCATATGTAAGAAAATCAATTAAAGTTGGGTATTGAGCCTTTTGACGAAGTTGGCTAGAAAACAATTCAACTACATTTGTACCCAGATGTGAAAGCTTATTAATTTGAATATCATTGCTTCATTTCTTTTGTTAATTGAACCAATTTCTTATTCGTTCCATCAATACAAGCTTCTAAACTACCAATTGTTGCTCTGTATTGATCGAGTTGACGAGCAACTTGGTCCATTTTAACTTTGGTACTCCATTTCATCTCTTTTTTGTTTCAGTTCTTGATATAGATTATTTAATTGAATCTCTAATTGTTGATATTGGTTTATCGTTAATGGTTGATTTTCATTTTCATTTACATAACCATACAGGAAATCAATAAAAAATAAATAATAAAAAAATAAAAAAAATTGAAAAAAAAATTAAAAAAAATTAAAAAAAAATTAAAAAAATTGAAGAAAAAATAATTAATTTTAAAAAAAAAAAAAAAATAATGCCCAAAAAATTAAAAAAAAAAAAAATTAAAGATTTTAAAATTAATTTTTAAAGATAATAAAATGATATTAATACCATTATTTTATTTATTTTATTTTATTTATATTTTTTTTATACTATTAGCCACTCTTTGTAAAGAGTGTTTCCAGCTCTACCACGGGGAGGTTAGTATATTAGAGCCGAATGGTTAATTATGTATCCCACCACGCAGAATACATAATTAACCACCATATTGAAAATAGAATGAAATGAAATGTAATGGGTGAATAAAAAAAACAACAAATAAATATAGTGGGTGAGTATATTAGAGCAGAATGGTTAATTATGTATCCCACCACGCAGAATACATAATTAACCACCATATTGATAATAGAATGAAATGAAATGTAATGGGTGAATAAAAAAAACAACAAATAAATGTAGTAGGTGAGTAAATTTCAAAAACATAGATACCAAGCGGGCCCAACTCAGTATCCATGTAATCAAAATACCTATAGAGAGTTGATTAAGTGATAATAGAATGAAATGAAATGTAATGAGTCAATAAATATAGTGGGTGAGTATATTAGAGCAGAATGGTTAATTATGTATCCCACCACGCAGAATACATAATTAACCACTATATTGATAATAGAATGAAATGAAATGTAATGGGTGAGTAAAAAAAACAAATAAATATAATGAAAATTTGACTTGATAAAGCTTGATATGTTTTGATAGTATATATGATATAAAATTATGGTATAAAAATAAATGAAAAAAAATATAGTTGAATTTAATAATTAATTGCTAAAAATCTTTGATATGTTTTAATGATAAATAATCCTTGATATATTTGAATGGTACACAATAGTTGATATTTTTATATGCTCAGTAATACTTGATATTTTTAGTGATCCATAATAGTTGATATATTTTGAATGTAACACAATACTTGATAAATTTTAATGATCCATTATATATTATATTCTTGAATGTTACATTATACTTTATATTTTTTAATTATACAATAAAACCAATTACTTTATAATCATTATACATTAAATCTTGATATTAATGAATGATCCAATCCACTTGTATATTTATGAATGTGTATAATGATAATAAATTTTTTAAAACTATGGTATCAAAATAAAAAAAACTATAGTTGAATTATAATAATTAAATGCTAAATAAGCCTTGATATATTTTAATGCTAAATAATTCTCGATATGTTTTGATATTATATATATATTATTTCTTGATATGTTTTAATTCTAAATAATCCTTGATTATATTTTAATGATACACAAAAGTTGATATATTTATGATATATAATGTAATACTTGATATTTTTGATTATCCATAATGTTTGATATGTTTAAATATTAAATAATCCTTCGTATATATTATAATGGGACACAATAGTTGATATTTTTATGCTATATAAAACTTGATATTTTTAATTACCCAAAATATGATGAATGTTACACAATACTTAATAGTTTTTAATGATCCATTATATTTAATGTTTTTAAATGTTACACGATATTTGATATGTTTTAATGATAAAATAAAATAATTACTTTATAATTATTATACAATAAATCTTGATATTATTGAATGATCCTATCCAATTGTATATTCTTGAATATATATAATAATAATAATAAATTTTATTAAAAAATAAATTATAGTTTAAATGCTAAAAAATCCTATATATGTTTTTTGATTATATATATCTTTGATATGTTTTAATGATAAAAAATCCTCGATAGTTTTATTGCTAAAAAATCCTCGATAGTTTTAATGCTAAATAATCCTTGATATATTTGAATGATACATAATACTTGATATTTTTATATGCTATATAATACTTTATACTTTTAATTATATATAATATTTGATAAATTTGAATGTTATACAATATATATATATATATATCAGATATTTTTTAATGATCCATTATATTTAATATTCTTGAGTGTTACATAATATTAGATATTTTTTAATGATTCAATAAAATAAAATTTTGATTTCTATACTTGATATTTTTGTGTGATCCATATTACTTAATATTTTTTAAATGCTATATATTATTTTATATTTTTTATGATCCATAATACTTTTTATTTTCTAAATGCTAAATATTTGATACTTTTGCATGATCCATATTACTTGATATTTTTTAATTATCCATAATACTTACCAATAATCATTACATTCAATAAAAAAACAAAAGAAAATTGATTGAAATCTTAATTGAATGATTAATAATACTTGATATTTTTAATGATAAATAAAACTTGATATGTTTATATTGCTAAATAAATATTTGATATTTTAAATGCTAAATTTTGCTTGATATTTTTTAAATGCTTAATAATACTGGATATTTTTTAAAACTTGATGTGCTTAAATGCTAAACAATACTTGAAAATTTTAAATGATCCATAATAAATGATATTTGAAATATTTTTAATGTTACATAATACTTAATATTTTTTTATTGATCCAAAATACTTAATCAATTTTTTATTTACTTGTATATTATATTATAAATGATTTTTTTTTATTATCCTACTGCCTTTTCCAAAATATTTGATATATTTTTTATTTTCCCCCTGCCTTTTCCAAAAAATTTATTTATATTATTTTTATTTTTTTTTTCTTTTAATTTTATTTTAAATCAGATATAAATAATTATTAATTTTTAAAAAAAAATTTTGAAATTATTTTTTTTTTTTTTTTTTTATAGTTTTTAATAAAATTTTATACCCCAAAATTTTTTTTTTTTTTTTTTTTTTTTTTTTTTTTTTTTTTAATGCTAAAAAATCATTTATATTTTTTAATGCTAAAAATCCTCGATAGCTTTAATGCTTAAAAATCATTTATATGTTTTAATGATAAAAATCTTTTATATATTTTAAACTAAAAAATCCTCGATATGTTTTGATTATATTTTTTTTTTTTTTTTTTTTTTTAATAATATGTTTTAATAATCTAAAATAATTATTTTGATCCAATAAAAAGATAGCTTTAATGCTAAAAAATCCTCGATAGTTTTATTGCTAAAATCATTAA